TTTTGGTGTGTGTGTGTGTGTTAATGGTATTAGAAGTGGGGAAATGCTTTGCAAATGAAAAAATGATACATATCAGAATTGTGTGAAGAAGTTTCTCCAAGGGAATATTGTTCTCTGTGAGCACAGGCACTTTAGATTGACCTAAATGAAGTTACATCCATAGCGCCAAAACCCAAACTTGAAGACAGAGGCAGGAGCAAACACAGTGCATTTTTCTTGGAACTGATCAGGAAAATGAAAGACTGCACAGAAACACTATGCTGGTTCTCCAGGAGAGGCATGCAGAGGGCAGGGCATCTCCCACATCAGGGAACTCCAAAAGAGAGAAATGGGAAGCTCTACAGACAGAAATGTGGAAGGTAGTGTGGAAGAGTGTCAAGAACACTCTGCAGTCTGAGCCCCAGATTGTTTGCCATGGTGATCTTGGGAATGTTTTCTTAAATTTCTATGTCCTTCCATTTCCTCATCTATGCAGAGGGCGTGATTATAATATTTGTTGGGCTGGGGATGTGGCTCAAGTGGTAGCGCACTCGCCTGGCATGCGTGCGGCCCGGGTTCAATCTTCAGCACCACATACCAACAAAGATGTTGTGTCCGCCGAGAACTAAAAATTAAATATTAAAAATTCTCTCTCTCTGTTTCTCTCTCTCTCTCCTCTCTCACTCTCTCTTTAAAAAAAATAATAATATTTGTTTATTTGGATTAATGAGATCCTTGACATAAAGTCAGTAAATGTTAATCATGATGATGACAGTAATGATGATGATAATGATTTGATGTAGATTATTATTTGCCCCCCCACCAAAGGAGGGATATATTCATGGTGGAGCCCTTACAGAGAATGGAAAACCATCACACTTGAATGACCTAGAAAGAAAAGAAGGCTGTGGTTGATTTTCCCACTTTTGCTTCTCTAGAACACTGCTTTGAATTTTCATTTCTAATGTATTTAAAATTCTCACCATCTATGATGATCTATTGCATAGAACTGAGAAGGGATCTAGAGAGGATCTGCAACAGGCCTCTCAGAAAATTTAAAGACAAATCAATTGGAGAAACAGGATTTGAGAAAATATAACATTAATGATTCTTAAGAACACAAAATTTAGTCTTGAAATTTTTCCTTTCAAGACAGCGTTTTACAAAGTTTTTAGAGTGTTACATGATATTTAACTTATGATATTCTTTGGAAAGAATGCAATCCAGAATACTTAATTTTAAGTATAAGTTTTAAGGATACTTAATTTTATTGTCAAGTTATTTTCTGCAATGTAAAAAAAAAAAAAAAGGTCTTTGCTCTCAGAATCTATCCACATTAGCTCTAAATTTCCTAAAGCCAAGAAAAAAAATATATGTATATATATATATTTTTGTTGTTGTTGTTGTTTCACATGAAAAAAATATATACATATGTTTCACATGAAAGCTCAGCATACTTAATACAAAACTTTCCACACTCAGTGAAAGTTTTTGTCTGACTGTTTTCAGAAACATGTATGCGGTCAAATCTTAGAATTGGCATTTTGTAGACACGTTTCTTTTAAAACAATTTCTCCCCCCAAAACCTGAATAGTAAAGAATTCAAATTGAGTTATCTTTCAAAAATCTTAAATATACTTTAATTACTTTTGGTTGTTAATTATCATTTTTTGAAATGTTGAGTCTACCTCTTGTGTCAGGGATAACCATTGCTAAAAGGGCTTTGATGAATTTTTGGACATTTATACCCCACAGCTTCTACCTTCAAAACTGAAAATTTCTCCTTCCTAGAAATACCACAATAAATGGGCACTTATTCTTGCTTTATAAACCAATTGACTGAGTACAGAAAGAAAATATTTTAATAGAAGGAAAGGAAATATCCAACACATTGTAGAAAGTTAAGCAATTGGAAAATCACGATCCTCTTATGGATGTTTTCCTAATGCAAAGTCCAGGCCTCCAGGGAGAGACCTCCCACACTGATCTCCTTTGCTGGCTGGAGTCAGGGCTTCCTCAGGGTTCCCAGCCTCTCCCCAGTGGGCAGGATCTCTTCTGGGAAAATCAATGCAATAGTGTTTGTAGTCCTGCCTTCTGTTGGGTTCTCTCTTGATGTGTCTCCAATAATGTAATCATTGAAATGTAGTGCTAGAAATTATTTTGGAGATTTTACAGGTTAGAAAAAATGAAATCCAGAAAAGAGGAGACATTTGTCCAAAGCCCAACACCTAATGAATCACAGGACTAAAGCCTTTAGTCTCCTTTGCTTCTAAGCCTAACCTGCAGCACTGGAAGAACTCAAAATCTGTATCTCACAGCTTTATATTACTGCTAGTAATAAAAGTGACACTATATGTGCACAGTAGTCCAGTCATTAAAATAGTATTTGTATAACGTTGTAAATTTGTTTTATATAATAGAAAACAACCAAATATATTAAAATTTTAAGCACACTGTTTGTATATTTTTAAGGTATTTACTGAAAATAGCTTTATCATCTTGAATAAAAATGTACAGAAGACCTTTATTAAATCAACAAACATTTTTGAAACTGCATCACTTCTGGAAGGTCCTCAGTGTGAAGACAGAAAAGAAAAACAGCAGTCCTTTGCTCTCAACCTGCCAGCTCCCTGGGGAGGCTGACAGGCAGTGTGAGACTGTGGTTCTGGCTGTGATATCATGAGATGTGCATCCTGGGGTAGCACAGGGGAAGAGCACCTAATAGGCAGCAAAAAGAAAAGGTCCCCCAAAGAGGTGACACTAGACCTGACTCCAAAGAAAGGGATGAAAGAAATGGGACATTGAAAGGAGATAAAAGTTTGTGCCAGGCAGGTAAATGTCACAGCGTGTGGCAGATTTGTGGCTTCTGTCTAGCTGTATCCCAGGATTAAATGAAGATGGAACCAGACAGGGACCAGATCATAGTTTTGTACATAGTGCTCAAAATTTTTGAATTTCACCAGAAATAATGGGAAGTTATTGCAAAATGATTTGCTATAAGTAAAAGAATGTAACTCAAATTGTACTCTAAAGCTAATGTTTGTCTTGTTTTGTGTTTCTGCTTCTTGATATCAGACACCTTGGTAAAACATCTGTGAGTAGAATGTGATAAAATCACTGGAATCTATTTCTAGTTGTAGACCTGACAGGAATCTCAATTTCCTCATCTATAGAATGGAAATCATTAGAGGGCTGTTGTAAGAAGTACGTTGAGTGCTGGGCTTGGTGGTGCATGCCTGTAATCCTAGTGGCTCTGGAGACTGAGGCAGGAGGATTGCAAGTTCAAGGTCAGCCTCTGCAATTTAGCTAGGCTCTAAGCAACTTAATGAAACCCTGTCTCAAAAAAAAAAAAAAAAAAGCCAGGTGGAGTGGCCATGCCTGTCATTCCAGAGGTTCGGGAGGCTGAGGCAGGAAGATTGCAAGTTCAAAGCCAACCTCAGCAACAGTGAGTCACTAAGCAACTCAGTGAGACCCTGTCTGTATTTAAAAAAATACAAAATAGGGCTGGCGATGTGGCTCAGTGGTCAAGTGCCCTTGAATTCAATCTCCAGTGCCAAAATAAACAAATTAATTAATTAATTAAATGGCAGAATATTTACACAAATACATTTTAAAAAATCAGTAAAGGGCTGGGGTTGTGCTCAGTGATAAAGCATCCTCAGTGCCAAAAAAAAAAAAAGAAAGAAAAAATGTACACAAATTCTGTCCCATTCAGTACTCATTACAGTCTCTGGCATATTGTAAATAATAAATGTAAGCTGGAATTATCTTCATCTTTATAAAAGTCTGAGTTGGAGAAAATGGCTTAGGATGCTTAGGGCTCATTTTAACAACTGGAGTTAAAATCAGTTTTTTCAGTGGTGCTGAATCTGTATTGTTTAGGGTAATTGAGCCCCCTGAAGAGATTTACTCTGTCAGCGTCATGGCTAGGAAAAAACATCAGTTAGCAAAATACATTGATTATATGCTTGAAGGAAGTTTTCTGCTGATTTCATTGCCTAAGAGAATGTAAGAAAAGAAAACTTAAGTTTCAGTGGTTGAGAAGTAGGATCTGGAGAAGATCTAGGCATGTGCTTGATTTAATAGTTAAAAGTGGAAGAGGAAAATGCCAAGGTCCACAGATAGGAATTGATGATAAAAATGAACTTTCCCCCGCTCCCTCTGTTGACTGGCAGGCTCCCCAAAAGAGAAGATATATTATGCTTTTAATTTGTCTTTGGATTGTAATTCCTTGTTTATGAAATGTCCTTATATCCTAATGGCTAAAGGTATTTTAGTTACTGGAGGGTTTTTTTGTTTCTTTTTTCTTTGTTTCTTTCTTTCTTTTTCTTTTTTTTGTCATTGTACCAAATTGGAAATTTGAAATATAGTGAAGCAATTTCAATTTGGTTGTATTTAAAAATTAGGTTTAAATTAGATTTAACATCTGCACAGTGCCATTTCCCTGTAAAAATGGACCAGGAGCCAAGGCCACAAGCAAGATGCCAATTACTGTGGGTCCTTGTGGATAGTCCCAATCCAACTACTTTGACCATATTAAGATGGTAAGAGTATGATGGCTGGGGCTCTCTTTGGCAATTTTTCCTGTCTCGTGATTAGAACACCTGAGCAGGAGCTGATGGGTAGCATTGTGAAAACCCTAATGCCTAGTGGTGACACCATTGGCACATTCATGGCCATCAAGATGGGCATTCGAGGGGCTAAGGCTGTAGCTCAATGGCAGAGTGCTTGCCTAGCAAGTGTGAGGCACTGGGTTCGATCCTGAACACCACATAAAAATAGACAAATAAAATAAAGGCATTTGGTCCATCTACAACTACCAAAAAAAAAAAAAAAAAAAAGATGGGCATTCAATGCTAACCAGGGCAGTAGCTGCCCTGGTTATGCTTTCCTATCAGTCTAAGCTTTCCTATCATTCTCAGGCCATGCACTGTAATCAAAGAACATCTTTGAAGCAAAATGGAGTATATTTTAATATTCTATAGAATAATAGCTGTACTTTCTGTGTTCTATTTTGTTAGTGCTCCTATATTCCTCCCTGTAAGAGAGAAAATCAGAAGAACTTGGAAAGTGTCATGAATTGGCAACAGTACTGGAAAGATGAGATTGGTTCCCAGCCATTTACTTGCTATTTTAACCAATATCAAAGGTAAGTCAGTATTTACTTGTGGATATTGATGTTGTCTGTAGCCTGTGTAATTTATTACACTGGCAAATCACATATTGTGCCCACTTGACAAAATATGCACCTTGGAAGTAGACTCTCTCTAGCTTTAGTCTTCATTCTTTCTAGCATATGGAGACCCCTTCATGCTCTATAGGATAGGAGAATCTGTAGGAGAAAAACAGAAAGAACTTGTATAATAGAACTTACCCTCTGGAGATACCGAAAAGTGCAGAAGTGCCTTCGTGTAGGACCACTGTATGCTATAAGTGTTCTCTGAGATTACAGATTAAAGCACATAAGCTAAACAGTGTGCAGATTTATCAGCATTTCAGATTGCACAGACCCTTAAACTTTCCTTTTCCTTTCTATTCTGATGAAATGTCAATAGAATGGGTTCACACCATTAAAACTTTACTTGACTTACAAAACTTCACCAAGATTTTATCTCACTCCAGTTAGAATGGCAGTCATTAACAATAAAAAAAAAAATGCTGGTGAGAATACACTGTTGGTGGGATTGGAAATTAGTACAGTTACTGTGGAGATCAGTTTGGAGGTTACTCAAGAGATTAGGCATAGAACCACCTTATGACCCATTCCTCAGTATTTATCCTAAAGAATAAAGTCAGGATACTACAGCTGTGCGTACATACCCATGTTTATAGCAGCACAATTTGCAATAGCCAAGTTAAGGAACCAGCCTAGGTGTCCCTCAAAAAAATAGATAGAGAAAACGTGATACACACACACACACACACACACAATGGAGTTTTAGTTAGCCGTAAAGAATTACAAAAATTGTGACATTTGCAGGAAAGTGAATGGAACCAGAAACCATGCTAAGTGAAATAAGCCGGACTCTAAAAGTTCCTGGGTTTTCTTTTCAAATAAAGGGACCTCATGAAAATAGAAGGGATACCAGTAGGGTAGCAGAAAGTGACCAGAGGAAGGAAGAGGGGAGGGAAAGGGGAGGTATGAGGGAATGAAGAGATGAATTTGTGCTATGTGCATATATAAATATATCACAGTTAACCCAACTATTAAGTATAATTATAACACACCAATAAAAGTTTTTGAAAACTTTACTTGCTTTAGAAGGCACTCAAATTTTGCCATATAGATCAAATCAAGATGATTCCTTGGACTGCAGTACTTCAGTATTCTCCCAGATTAATCATAGTAATTTATGTTTCAAACATTTATTTAATATTTAAAACTCCTTGCTGTACATCTCAACTTGGGCGTACCTCAGTTACCTCCAACCTTCTCTTCCTCCCATGATCTCTCCTTTAGTGATTGGTGCCATCATTCCTTTGTTTACCTATCCCAGAAAACTTTGGTACCTAATTCATTTCCTCCTTTACACTCTTTAACCTGTATTCACCATCATGTGGACTTTACAAACTTCTGTGATGACTTTTCTGTGCCTTCTTGCCGCCACTGCCTTAGTTCAGTTCCCCATTATTTCTCACCCCTGCTAATGCAGCAGTGATGTCATAGTTCTTACTACTCTAGATTCACTGGGCTCATACTCAGTCCTGTGATGGTGGAAATAGCCACATGGTTCAAGATGGCCTTTCCCTCTAGGCCCAGTAGGTGGCGCTGGGTGTCGAGGGGCCACCTCTGTTCTCCACCTGTCCTGTCATGCTTCTTCAGTGGGCTAAACTGCCTTCCTCATGGTAGCATGGTAGCCTCTAGGCAGCATTCAGGAGAGGCAGGCCTCAGCTCTGGAATTAGAATAAACATAACTTCATTGTGTATTCTGTTGGTCAAACCAAGTCACAAAGCCAGCCAGATGCATGGCATGTTGACAGATGACTCCTCCTGTTAGGAAGAGCTGCAAAGGATTTGTGGCCATATTTAATCCACCACAGCATGCAAGTTTCCTCAAAATCTGACCCAGTCTACCACCCCTCCAGCCTTATCTCCCTGCTTAAATGCTTTGCAGTAGCTTTCTGAACTATACAGTTTCAAGAATATCTCATACTTTCATACCCGTGTCTTTTAATTTGCTGCTTTTGCCTCTCAACTGCCTTGCTGAGGACTCCTGTCAGATATCACCTTCTCTGGACTACACTCCTTTCCCTGATCCCCAACTTTGGTTTAGTTGCATATCAGTTGAGATGCCATCTGCTACAGGTAAAGAGTGTATTCTTATTTGAAGTAGTATAAACAATTAGAAAATTACCTTCATACATGAAGGAATGCACAGGTAGACTGACAACAGGGTTGTCTGATGCACTGACTGACAATTGCATCAACCAGAACCCATCTCCTTTCTGGATTTCAGTTCTGCCTTTGTGGTTACAGTATGACTTCTACAATTCCAGTTGTTACAGCCAGACACAGCATTGTCCAGATGCAGAAACAGTATATCTTTCCTGGCATATTTTCCTTTGGAGTAGGAAACCTTTTTCCAACTTTGCACAGTCAGCCTCCCACTCTGTATCCTTGTTCAGAGTGAGTTTCCTTTGCCTACCTAAACTAATCACAAAAAGAACAATTAGAATCTACCCCTGAGTGGAGGGTAGGACATTGTCTCCTAAGTCACATGGAGAAAGGAAGGACAACCCCAACTGCCAGCTACCAGATGAGTCTCTCCTGTCCCATAGTCTCCTGTGTACAACTCTATCCCAGAGGTTTGCAACACTCACTTGACATAACTGCTCCAGAGCAGCTTTAAAACACACACACACACACACACACACCACTGGCCAATTAAATCAGCATCTTTGGTAGTTAACCCAGGCATTAGCATTTTTAAAAGAATTCAGCTCGGGCTGGGGATGTGGCTCAAGCGGTAGCGCGCTCGCCTGGCATGCGTGCGACCCGGGTTCGATCCTCAGCACCACATACCAACAGAGATGTTGTGTCCGCCGAGAACTAAAAAATAAATATTAAAAATTCTCTCTTCTCTCCTCTCTCACTCTCTCTTAAAAAAAAAAAAAGAATTCAGCTAGGCACAATGGTGCACACCTGTAATCTCTGGTTTGGGAGGTTGAGGTAAGAGGATTGCAAATTTAATGCCAGCCTGGGCAATTTAGCAAGACCCTGTCTCAAAATAAAAATTAAAAAGAATTGGAGAAAGAGCTCAGTGGTAGAGGCCCTTGGGTTTAATTTGCAGTACTGAGAAAACAATTCAGTCCTGGGAATTCCGACATATGATCAGGATCTAGAGCACTGCTCTGCCCTTTCACCTGTTACCCTTTACTGGAATCGTATGTGTATCTATCTCCCTAACCACACTGTACACTTGTTAAGGGTGTGGATCAATTATTCTTTGTGGTTGTTTCCTTAATGCTTACACAGTGCCTGGCTCTCAAAATAAATATTTGGTGAATAAATGAATGCGATGTACCAAGTTAATAAGGGAGGGTTCTTTGCTTCCAAGGAATTTGTATTCATTGGTGAAAACAGGTGCTTATGCAAAAATAAATACGATTTCCCCTCCTAGAAATAAAAGAGGGCTGAACACAGTGATGCATGCCTGTAATCCCAGTGGCTCAGGAGCCTGAGGCAGGAGGATCGTGAGTTCAAAGCCAGCTTCAGCAATTTAGTAACACTCAGTGACTAAATAAAATATAAAAAGGGCTAGGATGTGACTTGGTGGTTAAGCACCCTGGGGTTCAATCCCTGGTGGTACCAAAAATATAGAAATAAGGGAAGATCTTGGGCTGGAGTTGTGGCTCAGTGGTGGAGCACTTGCCTGGCATGTGTGAGGTACTGGGTTCAATCCTCAGAATCACATAAAAATAAAAAACAAATAAAATAAAGGCATTCTGTCCATGTACAACTATAAAATTAAAAAAAAACAATAAGGGAAGATCTTGAGAATGGGGTGACTACAATAAAGAAAGCAAGGCTTAACTAGGTATCTTAGATATGTATGTTATATGCTAAGGAGTGGGGAGTTTTTATCAGGAAAGGTAGCTTGGGTTTAGATTTCTAAAAAGTCATTAATGCCTTTAAGAGACAGTCTTTTAAATATAGGCAATAAAAATGCATACAGAGTTTTTTACTTTTAATCAAAGACTGACATGATTTAGTAAGTAACTGGTATAACTGAGTGAGCATTAGATGGGAAATATATGTTAAGGCAGGCAGGAAGGAGAATACTGATGTGAGAAAAATGACATTTTTGAGTGGCTGCCACGTGCCAGCCATTGTGAATGAAATTTTATTGAGATCATGAAATTTCTTACACTAGTTCTAAGTGCTAGTCCCACTCAACAGATGAGGAAACCAAGCTTTAAAGAAGTTAAATAACGTACCCAAAGCACACAGCTATTAAGTTAAAACAAACAAACATACCTGGAATTTAATTAGTCTGATTTTCAGAGTTCCTTTAATTAACCATCTACTAGTCCTGATGAGGGCCTAACTGAGTAGTGGAGATGGAAGTAGTGAACAGGGATTGTTCTATAAAAAGACATTTTAAAGTTTAATGACAGTGTAAGTGATGAGGCAAAGGAAGGTGTCAAATTTGACTGAATGTGAGAAAAGGATAGTCCAGCTCTGGAAATATGCTGAATTAGAGGGACTCGTAAGATATCCAGAAGATGCTTTGGTTCAGAAGCAAGAGATCAGGAGCAGTGCTGTGCAGATCTGGGAATCATTGGCACACAAGCTGCAGTTGAAGCAGAGAGAAAGAATGCATGTTGGGAACACGCAGAGAAGAGAAATGTTGACGGAATTATATGTAACTTAACAAGCAGAGGAGATGGAGGAAGAGTGGCCCACAGGTGAGAGGAAGCTAGAAGAAAATGCTGTCTTGAAAGGAGAGTGTATTAAGGAGAAGGAAGTAATCAAGAAGAATGCTGAGAAGTCATTGCTTTTGACAATTAGCAGTCTGTAGTGGTCTTGTAAAAACACTCAGTGGAATGAAAAGGCAATCTGCAGAGTGGAAAAAAATGTTTGCAAAGCATACGTCTGATAAGGGTTTAATATCCCCAAATGTGTAAAAACCCGCACAACTCTATAAA